GCAAAATATACGTAGTTTAGGTGATCTTTATATTAGACATTTATTATCCTCAGACTGTAAATAAGTATACAGCTAGTATTCGGGTTGTACAAGGTTTAACCGAGGAAAATAACGTGGATTTATGCATTTAATGCACATAATTTTTTTTCTTATTTCACGCGTGCGACAATTTTTCTACCCAAAAGAGGACAACGTGACGTCCTTGAAAACAGAAGGACAATTTTGAGCTAGAAACTGGTTTATTTTTCAAATATGTAGAAGATAAATTCTAGAGAACTAGTTAATTTCTTCTTCCAAAGAAATTTTGCATTTATTTACATGATTATAGATATAGATGTCTACATGCAACATAGATTTTTTTAACAAATTTTATCTACCCTAGATGTAGAATTTCTTAAACAGACCCACCAATAAGAGAAAACTAGTTTATCAGCTGGATTAGTTCACTTACGTTTTTTAGCTTTGAATTATGTCTCTTTTACAATTAAGTCACCATATAAGGTCAAGTCGGAACTGTAGGTTTATCTTTTTCACTGTACAGATATCGATTAATTACCTTACGGTGTGGAAATAAACGATTATGCAAAAAACTAACATATCGTCAGTTCTTTTCACATGAATTTTCTCTTCACTCAAACAGACCGTCAACGACGTGATTATTGGAATAATCTTCTTGGCGACCCGATTGTACATGCAAAGAGCGAGCCCAAACTCGAACCTGAGCTCCAACTCCACGGTGTTGGTGCTACTGAATACGAGGAATTTGCGAGATCACAGGCCAGTGAGAGACATGGTCCAACCTAATTCCAAGTCACCGTGGGGAAACAATTTTGCATTCTTGCATGTGCCGATACCGAAGGTGAAACCGAGCGATTCTCAGTTCTCTGATCCTTTGAAGTTTGTCCACAAAGCTCGTGAGGTGATCAAGAGGAAACGGAGCTCCTTCGGTGTAGTCCTTACAGGGATGTTGCTAGAGATGATGAAGAAATGCAGAAACCCAGAGGTATGTACACGTCGCAACAATTAACTAGTCAGAAATGCTAAGTATATTAAATATAATTTACAAATTTGATATGGTAAATGATGTGACATGCTGTTATTAGGTATTGAACATGGCACACTTTCGTTGTATAATTTCTTGCAATCTATCATATATTTTGTAAATTGGTTTTAAGTGTACCTAGCATTACTCCTTATTGATATTATTGTTAACAAAAATGGATTAAAACAAATGGATTTGCCTGTACGAAATGTGTTTAATCATTGCAGGAAGTAGCAAGGCACATTAACAGGACAATGAGAAACTCGAGCATGATCATCTACAACGTTACAGGGCCAACGTTACAAGGCCAATGGAGAAATTGTCTTTCGATAATCATCCCGTTAAAGGCATGTACTTCACCGTCGTCGGCTCACCCGAGGTATTTATGTAATTGTTGTAAATTTTGATTTTCTACCCAAGAGCACAAAATTACCGAGGCTTTATTGGTACTGGGCCTCAATTTCGCAGTCGTTACATGCATCATCTTCCGAAATATTGATACAGATTTCGATATTCGGGACATATATGGGTCTAAAGACCAATGTGTAACATTTTATGCAACAGTTACGCTCCTATCCCATCTTTAAGAGTCGACAGAATTTTGAATTCAAAAAATTGATTCTTCTTATTTACCACAGCACGTACTCACTAGACTGAGTCGCGAGTGGCTTGCTTCTTCGTATCAATGATGTAACGAATACATGAAATAATTCCTTCGTGCTTTGTTTTTGCAGAGTCTCCAAATAACGATGATCAACTATGCAGGAAATCTGAGAGTAGTCGTGCGAGCTGAGCAAGGGTTCATAGATTCCGAGTTGTACACCCGCTCGCTGCATGATGATTTGGACATGATCCTTCACGATGCATGTGAGAAGCAGTAGAAGCCATTCCCATTCCTATCTTTCCACAGTTCAACGCCTTATGATGAAACCCTATTTTTTCCCTTATTTTTCTTTATAAGATCTTGTTAACGGGACGAATCTAGAAATCGAGTCTTGTTGAGTTCCGTGGCGGTGAGCTCAATAGAGTTTGTTTTAGCTGGGAATCAGAAAAATACCTTTCACTAAAGATTGATCTTTGATTTTTATTGAATGGGGTTGAGTGGTGATTCGAACAAGAATTGAATTGCGTAACAAGGATCAACACCAACTAAATTTAAAGGAAAGTACAAATACTGAAAATTGATAAATTGAAACTGAGAAAATACATAACTTTATGTTGATGATCGTGTCTCCTTTACAACATTTCAACACGATTTTATATACTCGAGGTCCCATGATAACATGTCGTCCTTAAACACACGATTTTGTTAAATGATAATCGTTGATCAATCTCTCTTGTATGTCGACAATTGTATAACATGGTCATCGATAATCCTCATCATGATCAATAAGTATTTCCACTATCGGCAACTTACCGACAATTGAATTGTACTTAATATCTTCAGTCAAGTTGACGTTATGTAAATGAAATAACCTTGGTTTTTTTTTTTTTGTGTTAACACGTGTCTTTAATTCTTTTAAACATTTGAAAAGATCGTGAGTTCAGGAACTTGATTGTGCTAGATTACTCAAACGCTATTTCGGTACCTTTTCTCTTTTATTTCAAAAAATATTTTTCAAGCAGCTTGAATTGATTTTAGACCTATCCATTAACATGTGAGGTGATAACGCATATGCTCAAACATTATATGGTTTTTAATTTAGAAACCCAATAATCAAAGCAGTAAATAAATTGCTACGATAAGGGGGAATTTACTTACCTCGATGTACAGCAATCCGCAACAATAATAATTTGGAAACACATATTCACTCTAAAACATGGTTTTTAATTAGCACACAATTCCAATAAATTCTTTTTTGATTTTCTCTTATTTAAATGAAAACTAAGTTATATGCAATGCACGAAATGTAAGTTTAAACTATATTACATGACCTAGCTTAAAATGATGAACAATTTAATTACATGAACCTAAACATGCAGTTTCCAATGATGGACAAAATTAACATGCGACTATTCTAGCATGACATGCAATTCCATAACTCTAACATACAATCATTAAATGACATGCAAGTAATGACGTGGCACGATGACGTGGCACTATGCCATGGCATATGATGACATAGAAATAATGACATGGCATGGATGATGCAATCTAAACTACATGACATGTGCATGATTTTTTTTGTTGGTATTTTCATTTATTAAAATTCGGAATGAATAAATGCCTTGATATGAACATGTGATCTAAGAATTTAACTTATTCCAAGATAATTTTTTTTTGTATTTTCTATTAAATTCGTAATTAAAAATTACCAAAAATTAACTATTAAGATTAAGATATAATCTAATTTAAACTAGGAAATAAACATGCTAAATCCTAATTTTAATCAAAAAATCATCCTAAAATCTATTTAAATATGCATCTATTCGAACTATCCTAACTTAACAAGGAAATCTTATTTAGCATGCATTCCAATTATTTAATTTTTATCGAAAATCTATCATAATCTATGAGGAAAGATTATCTAGATTTTACTTATGCATCCAAGATTATCTAAAAGTCTAATCTAATCTAATATATATTTTTTGAAAATTTTCAAATAGAAATGTAATTAAACAAATCCGACGTCGTCGAGTGTCCCTAGAGAAAAAAAGGCTCTTCTTGAGCTCTGGTACATGCCTCACTTCTGTCAATGTACGCATCACCCTATCGTACATCCGAATCCGAATTGTCCCTATCCATACAACCTTGCAGGCTATATTATTCCCTATCAGAACTCAACCATCATCTACAGTTTGGTTAGAAGTAAACTAGTTTATATGAGACGTCATATGATAAGAACACCCTGAATATAGTACCCATTTGTCTCCTGACAAATTAGTAGTCACACACAAAATAGCCTTTGCATTGCTAGTATTCTCCTCAGCAACGTTTGCCACACTGCTTGTGGCATTTTACCTATCACCTTGGTTTCTCCGCTTCGGACAATCTCTCCTATTGTACCCCTCCTCGTGACACTTAAAGCATTTCACGCTTCCCTTAGACTTTTTATTGTGTGACTTTGACCTGCTTTTACCTCTGCTAATACTAGACCCCGATGTTGATCTCTACCCCGAATCACTAGTCCTTACGCTGCATCATGCTTTAGATTGTCATTTCGCAACTTTCTCTTCCACTCTTTAGAAAAAAAGGTGGACTTTACCGCTTTCGAGGTAATTATAGTACACCCTGTAGTAGTGAATTAGTTTAGTACTCCCCTGACTCTGGTAAAGAAGCTAACAACATTATTCCCTGCTCTTCATCATCAAGAATCTTATCGACATTCTTTAAATCCATCATGAGTTTATTGAACTCATCTTGGTGGGATCTAATAAATGTAGCTTCAGTATATCTAAACTGAAACATCATCTTCAACATGTACAAATAATTGTTACATAGAGTGCCTAAAGTTTTGGCCACAATGCTGTGGCATGCTTCTCCTCGACCACCTCTATTAACACCTCATCCGATAAATTCAACATGATTACACTCTTCGCCTTCTTCATTAACACATCATTTTCGGCATCTTTCATCATTTCGGGCAACTTTTCCTTGCTTCCCAATGCTTTGGCCAAACTTAAGTTATTAATAACACCTCCATCTTAACGCTCCATAACTTAAAGTTGTTCCTCCCATTAAACTTCTCAATTTCAACTTTCTTCTTAAACATAATTGCAACAACGGAATCTCCAGATAATTATCAGACAAGCAAAAGCCCCAAATCACAATCCAGAAAACCTTATCCTCAAGCTATGATACTAATTGTTGTAATATTAACGAACGCGGAAGCTAACCTAGATCTTGCAAATTAAGTCAATGCGAAAATCACCGGAGAAATAACGATGAACAATAAGGACACCCAAGATTTACGTAATTGGGTCCGACGTATCGGTACCTACGTTCATGGGGAGAGTCAGCAGTACATAATCCACTAATAATAGGAGAATCCAAGTTACAATTGTTTACTCACACATTCGAGTGTTTACCACAACAGATTAAATCCAAGCCTCAAGTGTTTATAAATAAACAACTTAAATGGATAAAATAAACTCACAGCACAAACTTTGGACGGCGACTTCGTGTAGCTCCCATCTTCATTGTTTCGGCTATAATGAGTGGCCGAAGGAGCCCCCACAGAACTTTGCTACTCTTTGTTCAAGACCGGAGAGATCCACCCACTTGCGGCTACATTAAACGGATTAGGAAAAATCTAGGGCTACAAAAGAGAACCTATTTTATTCTTTTATCTCAATCCCCCTAAGGCCCACCAGCTTTCTTCTGTATGCCTGACAAGAAATAGGCAACTAGAGTTCACATTTTGTTTCTTTCCTCTTGGACAAATAAATGTTTATATAATAATAAATGTGCCCATTACTTTTGTCCTTTAGTGATTTCCTTCTTATGCGCAAGACAAATAAAGAACCAAGAAGATAAACCGGTCAAAGATAAAAGGTCAATCCCTTCGCCCGAAAAATCCAAATTTGCGCAAGATTAAAAGATGCACACCAAAATCTTTCAATGGGTCGGGTTCTGTAAACAGTTCAAACTTGAGACACAATCTAACAACCCACTTGTCCTTCGAAGCTCTTTTTACCTTTAGGTAACTTCAGTAGCTTAAAATTATGATTATTATAAAGTGACTACATTTCATCATGCAAGCCATTTGCTATTGCACTCATCTTCTATTGCTTTTGCATAGCACTTTGGTTCACATGCATCAGTCAATAATACATACTCATCTGCAAAGTATCAGGTGGAAGGTCATTGCTCTCTAATGAATCTTTGGACTAGAGTATCCGGTGGAGCATCTAATGGAGCTTCTGGTTAAAGAACGATATCATATCACGCCCCGAACCCCATTGAGCTCGCGACATACCTCTATGGTCGATTATCGCGACGTCCCAGGATGTTGCCGACCCCACACATCAGAGAGATAAAACACTAGCGGAAGCAACATATACCCAGACAATACTTAGAGAGGGGTAATAGGGAGAATATACATTCACTACCAAGTCAAACTTATACAATACACACCACTTACAATACACATAATATACACGCACACCGGGCTTCTAAAGTTTACACCACCGATATAAAAAAGGACCAGTAGTCTGTGTCTACTCTAACTCCAAAAATAGGATACTTCAAAAAAATGGGTTTACCCTACCCCTAAACTAACCCCTACGCCCTCTAGACGGCGTCCACTCCGAGTCGTTCTCCCTAGAACTCGAATCTGATTCCCCTTGAGCCACTTGCTCCTCTGAGGATTCCGAATCCGCCTCGATCTCAATCGGGTTATCTTCATCCCCCGACTCCAACGGAACCTCAATTCGTTCCTCTTCTTCAGGCTCCTCCTTCGGTTCTTCCTCTGACTCTTCTTCTGGTTCCTCCTCAGGCTCTTCTTCGAGTTCCTCCTCTAGCACTGCACCCAAATCCACATCCATCGGGTCGAACCCTGCTTGTGACTCTTCCGGCTCCGAATCAGGCTCAGCCATTGAGGGTTCGGGTGCTGCAAGTACAGGCTGATGTCCTAACTGTGTGAGGCTAGTGTCAAGGCTAGCCATCTCACCGTCAGGAGGGGGTATAGCCGATGGATCCCAGTCTTCTACTCCATCAAAAGGAACATCAAAGCCTCGAACAGGACCGAACTCGTCCATACCATCCCGAAAACACCAGACGGTATAAGTGTGGGCCTGCCAAAGGGATTGCCCTATATCTACCCAGACTACTGTAGTATGCTTGATCCAAGCCATATTATCATCTATTGGGTACTCTATCACGGCATGATCGGTGTGCATCGGTATGCCAAAACGCTGAGGCGGTGGCGCTGGAAGATTCATGGTCCAGGCCGGGGTTCTGAAATGGTTTGGTTAAACAACCATGAGACACGTCTCATCAAGTAAACACCATAAACCCCACCTAGGCTAACACGTACCTCTAGACAAGTCCAAACACAATATCACTCAATAAACACACAACATGCACACAACTGTACTTACCTGAGCTTTTAATGCGTACAATCTGCACGTTAGTCTCAATTCCACAAATTCCAACCACATGCATTTTCCAAATTAATTTCATGCCCAAAAACGAAAGTCGAACACACGGCATTTCCAACTCCGCATTTCACACACTCGTTCATGCATCACCACACTATTTTCATTAAACTTGCCCACGACCCGCGTAATTACGCCTCAGGTCCACTTTCCATCTACGGTCCACATACGACCGTCTCATGTTCACGACACTCCTTAGCCCGCGTTACAGTACACGCCTCAGGCTATGTCTCTTGCCCGCATTACAATACACGCCTCAGGCTCAACATCCTCCACCAACGGCACAACCCGCATAAACGAACACGCCTCAGGTTGGCGGTCTTCCGATAATACCGGGCATCGTCCCGCGTTAAAGTATATGTCTCAAGACGGCTCAATTCCCCGCGTTACAATACACGCCTCAGGGACTTTCGTGACCACACGCACAACATATCACATAAATTTTTCACCCATCCACACGCTCAAACATCATACGAACATGCTCAATTGACACACAAACATGCCCAATTTCCAGCCAATCCAATTCAGCCCAAGCACGCATCGAACCTCACGCATTTCACATGCTCAATTGACACACAAAAATGCCCAATTTTCCAGCCAATCCAATTCAGCCCATACTCATATAAACGGGTCCACATTTCAACCAATTGTTCCATAATCCGACGAGCATGCAAGGTTGCCACTAGACCCACAATCACAGCTACTAATATGAGCATAAAATCAACATATTCATGTTTATTTCAAGTTACAATAATCCCATAAACCAGCCACGACTCCACACATCAAACCGACATGTTTAGTCCCCAAATCGAACCATACACTCATCATTTCAAACCATGATTTCCAGCACATAATTCCACCATGGTCAGCCCCGAAACCATCACAATTTCACCCACAAATCAGCCAAGATCAGCCCCAACTCAGCTTACTAAAATAACCCCTAAATAGCCACTAATTAACCGCTAAACAACCACTAATAAACCTGAATCAGCCCCTAATCAAGTCCGTTAGTACCCGTAGTCCTAGGAAGAGTTTAGCATGCCACTCACTTGAAGTCCTAGGCAAGCTCGGGCAAGAAGGGGTGCGGCAAGCCGGCGGACGGACGGCGACGGTGGCGGCTGAATGGCGGACGGTGGCCAGTCGAGCGGCGATCAGCCTTGCTCGGCCACACGTGCTAGGCCAAAAGAAAAGGAAGTGAGCTAGCTAATGGAGAGAGAGTGTGGGACGGCGAGGTGGTGGTGGCGAGGCCGCGGCGTCGGGAACGACCGAGCGGCAGCTATCCGGCACGGCGGTTGAACGGCGGCGACGGCTGGCTTGGCCGATCGGCCGCGGTCACGGGAGGAGGGGGAAGGGGCTCGGCTGAGAGGGAGTGAGAGGGAGAGGGTAGGCGTGAGAGAGAAATGAGAGGGTGAGAGAGAGAAAGAGAGAGAAGAAAGGCTTAATAAATCAATAATTGGTGTCTATCCCTATCAAAATGACCATCCTACCCTCCTCTCTAGTTTCCAATCAACGGCCACGATTCGATCTTATCTTGAGATCAATGGCCAAGATCGACTCTTATAAAAAATATCCAAGGGCAAAATTGAAATTTCACAAAAAGTCCAAGGACAAAATTGTCCAAAATTTTTTATCTCTAAAGTTGGTGTGAAATGACCAAAATGCCCTTCTCACATTATGCTTGCCCTTAACAAAGTCCCAGAGGCAAAACGGTCATTTTTCCATTTCTTGCCAAAATTCTAATTTTCTGAAGAATCCGGACAAATCTGAGGCTGACCAGGCTAATAACAACGTCGTCCAATTATCCTGTCATGACTTTCGAAATTTCCAATGCCCAAACTTGGTCTCTAATCAATGACTAAATTTAAATAACGTAATTTGAGCGTATCTCAAACTAACGAGTGGCTTTCGGGAAATTCGCATATTCGACCCGTGATTGATACTGAATCAAGCCACGTTTAAGTTCACTCGGATCGTGACGACCTCGGTTGTCATGTAATCGCGAGGATCGATCGCTAGTTCCGACGGGCGCGATCGTTTGGTATAGATTTAGGGTCATTCGTCAATTCATCTCGTGATCAAGCGGTATCACCCGCGATCCACTCGTATGACAGCGGCGAATTGATCCCTAACTATCCTTGGATTGGCCTACATTGGCTCAAAATGTCATCTCGACAATTTTTATGGTCGAAAGTCGGTTCACGATCGAGTTTCTTTGGTCGCGCGAATTTAAATCCCTAATTAGCCATTCCCTAACGGTTAGTATCCCAGGAGTGATCAGTTCCGAGCGAGATCTAACTTCAAGTACGTCCATAAAATCATCAATTTCATAAATCCCAAGTGGGTCGAATTTCAGAATGTCACAACTCTTCCCCCATTAGAAAAATTTCGTCCTCGAAATTTACAATTTAACCCAACTACTCAAACAAGTGGGGGTATTGACATTGTATTAACTCCTCACTTTCCCAAGTCGCACCTTCTGTCCCGTGATGTTCCCAAACAACTTTGACTATCGGGATCGTCTTGTTCCTTAAAACTCGTTCTTTCCGATCTTCGATCCTTATTGGCCTTTCGACATACGACACCCTGTCGTCAACTTCTATCTCTTCATAGTTCAACACATGAGTTCGGTCCGGTTCATATTTTCTCAGCATCGACACGTGGAATACATTATGCACTTGCGACAAATTTGGCGGTAATGCAAGGCGATAAGCTAAGTCTCCAATCCTTTCCAAAATCTCAAAGGGTCCTAAGTACCTCGGACTCAACTTCCCTTTCTTGCCAAATCGGAATAATCCTCTCATGGGTGATACCTTAAGGAATACGTGATCCCCTACTTGAAATTCCAAAGGTCTTCGCCTTCTGTCTGCATAACTCTATTGACGACTTTGAGCTGTTTTCAGCCTTTCACGAATGATCTTAACCGCCTCAACTGACTGTTGAACTAATTCTAGCCCGGTTATACTCATTTCTCCAACTTCGTCCCAACATACGGGCGTTCTACATGCTCTGCCATACAGCGCTTCAAATGGTTCCATCCCGATACTCTGCTGAAAACTATTATTGTACGCAAATTCCGTCAAGGGTAATTGTTCCTCCCACTTGCCTTGAAAATCCAACACACACGCCCGAAGCATATCCTCTAAAGTCTGAATTGTCCTCTCAGACTGGCCATCCGTTTGTGGATGGTAAGCTGTACTAAACTGCAGCTTTGATCCTAATGCCGTTTGCAGACTTTTCCAAAAGTTGGCGGTAAACCTAGGATCACGATCCGAAGTAATCATCACTGGCACCCCATGCAAACGAACTATCTGTTGTACGTACAACTCAGCATACCGATCCAATGTGAAGTCCTTTCGTACGGCCAAGAAGTGCGCTGACTTTGTCAATCTATCGACAATCACCCAAATGGAATCATGGCCTATTTGGCTCCTTGGTAATCCCATTACAAAATCCATAGTAATATGTTCTCATTTCCATTCTGGGATTTTCAAAGGTCGCAACAATCCTCCGGGCTTATAATGTTGTGCTTTCACTTGCTGGCACGTCAGACACTTAGCCACGTGCTTAGCTATGTCCACCTTCATGCCATTCCACCAATAGTACTGTCTCAAATTCTGATACATTTTCGTACTCCCCGGATGGATACTATAATTACTACGATGCACTTCCGACAAAATCTTTCCCTTAAGTTCCGCATCTTCAGGCTTGCACAACCGTCTACGGAACTTCAAGATTCCGTCTTTGGATACTCGAAAGTCCGGCTTCCTCTTGATAGCATCTATTTGCAGAATCTTTTGAATTTCTTGATCCGTAGACTGTAAGGCCTTTCTCTTAGTTTGGATTTCTGGTTCAATTCTTAAAGTGGCAAACAAGCTCGAGACTTGACTTACTTCGAACTTAAACTCCGAGTCTCGCACTCCTTCCAACAAAGTCCACTCCTTGATCATCAAGTGTGCGATGCTTGACTTCCGACTCAATGCATCGGCTACTCGGTTGGTCTTTCCAGGGTGATACAAAATATTACAATCATAGTCCTTAAGTAACGCCATCCAACGACGCTGTCTCATATTAAGTTCCTTTTGAGAAAACAAATATTTCAAACTCTGATGGTCTGTATATACCTGAATTTCTCTCCACATAAATAATGTCGCCAAATCTTAAGGGCGAATACTATTGCGGCTAATTCCAAATCATGCGTCGGGCAGTTCAACTCATGCGGTCTCAACTATCTTGATGCGTAAGCTACTACTCGTCCATTTTGCATGAGTACACACCTTAGTCCTTTCAATGACGCATCACTATAAATTTCATATCCTCCTAGTCCTGATAGAATAGTCAATACCGGCGCCGTGGTTAATCTATGCTTTAGTTCTTGAAAACTCCTTTCACATTTGTCAGTCCATTCAAACCTTGTTTCCTTTTTCAACAAATGTGTGAAAGGTGTTGCTATTGCCGAGAGTCCTTCCACGAAACGTCGGTAATATCCTGCCAAACCCAGAAAGGTTCGGACCTCTGTTACCGTCGTTGGTCTCGGCCACTTTATTACAGCTTCAATCTTTGCTGGATCTACTGAGATTCCTTCCCCAGAGATCACATGTCCA